GGCGTTGCAGTCTCGAGAGGACAGAAATGGCGAAGATCCTTTAGAGATTCAAGTCCACGAAAACAAAAACGAGAACACGGATACTGTACAAACTTACTTACTTACACCAAATAAAGTAAATGTCGAAAATAAAAACTCGCGAAAGGGCAGTGTATCGAATTCAAAATCCAAGAGCACAGAGAAACATAGAACACAAAGACTGATTATGGATTCAGTGGGTGTGCTTATGAAAAATTTAACAATACGGGTAGAAGAGAATAAGTCAACTGATGTTGTTGAGGAAGAAGAAATGGACGAAAAATCACAACAGATTCATACTCAAGATTCGATAATTACTGAAAGCAAAATGGAAATAATCGATTCCAATAGCGATTTTAACAATAGTCATCAACAAAAGTCTTCTGATGGAGGAGATGAATTCTATGAAGAGGTTCAAGAAATTTATAGACAAAGGTAAACAGTGTAATAGTAATAATGATATAGTAATACAATGATATATATATAGTATAACACGATACATCATTGCTTATGCTTGCTTATGTGGTGTCACAGATTAGATGTAACTCTAGTTATTTTCTGTTATATAGCAATTAAAATTAAATAAGTATAAGTATAGTACAATATATAAAATTTATCTTTTTTTTTTTTATTTAGTCACAAGGCTGATTGTAAGGCTGATGAGAAAGAAGATGGTTTAGAAACTGTGAAAAAAGCCTTTTCATTAATGGGTTATGCCAATTTAACCGAAAATGAAAGCCAAAGAAAATTGCAAGGCGAAGTTGTTTATCGGAAACGTAATATTAGACGGCAAAGTTTCCAAGTAATGGAATTAAAACGGTTAAAACCTAAATATAAATGCACTCTTGATGATGCAGCAACACCTGTCAGATACACAAATAAGGTAAAATTTTTTCCTTAATATATTTGGTACATTTATATACTTTACATATTATTATGTAAAGTAAGTTTTAGCTTTTTGTTGTATATATTTCAATATTATTTAAATTTCTAATTATACTACTGCATGTATATTGAAGCAGAAAGAGAGATGACATGCCCTATTAGTATTATAAATATTCAGTTCTCGATTTTATATTCAAATATCTATGTTCTACACGATTAGACTGAAAGAAAGAGAGGAAAGAGAGAAAAAATATATATAAAATAACTAAAAACAAAACGTATTGCTAACTAAAAAAGTTCTAGGAAATATTCTTTCTTATTGGATACTATAAAGAATTCTAAATAAAAATTCTAAAAAGGATGGGAAAAGTATTAATGTATTTTTTGTAGCTGCACTGTTACAGTTTCTGTATTTAAAATAAAACGTATATAATAGCTGCTTTCCATTTACACCGATTCTCAGAAAATTCTCACTTGTAACGTCATAACTTAGTTGAGTGCGCGTTCCTTTTGCATTCTGACAAGTGAGATTCAACTGAGTTTTTACCCATAATCTGCACAAGATCGAGACCATGTGCTTTAGTGAGTCTCGTAAACTCACTTCAAAGTGAGGTTATGAACCTGTGTTAACATGTGGTAACTTTTTACCAAAGTAAGCAAATAGTGATGTCATTAATCTAAATATAAAATACTCAGCTCACTTCAGACTCAGTTTTACTTGTGTGTAAATGGAAAGTAACTAATATTAATGATTGGGGAAAAAAGTAAAATGATTAACAGTATAAAAGGTTTATTTGCATATAAAAGTATGAAAGTAGAGCTATCAAAACATCATAGTTTATGAAATATTTAATATTTCATGTCAATATGTGTCAGGATAAAGTATAAAATATCTCGTAAACTATTGATTTTTTTGGTATATCTACTTTAATAATATTTGGTAATTATTCAGAATACCTCCCTCACCTCCGATTTCGATAAAATTAGGCTCATTCGACGCGTTTTTGCATGAAACGAAAGAATCTGGCAGAAAAA